CTTGACTGTCATAATCATTTTACAATGTCCAAAAAAAAAAAAATCTTAAAAAAAAAAAAAAGAGTCAGTGGCTTAACCAACTGAGCCACCCAGGCATCCCCCAACGGATTTTTTTATATGCTGATTGGGGATCCCACTTGCAGTTCTGGTTCTTAGCTTCCTTCACTTAATGGGTTGCAGTCACTCTCCTACACTTTGAAATCTAGATCAAGAGCCCACTTTACTTACACACAGGAAATAGAACAGATGCTCTGCCGCAAGATCAGAATCAATCAGCTGAGGTCCTGCTGTATTTTGCTCCTTTTATTTATTTTTTTGGGGGGGAGGGGTGGGTATCTTTGTGTGCTTTGCCCCTCAGACTTGGTTCATCCTTCCTATATTAGTGTTGTTTCCTAGATCTTTGGCCTATGCTGTACCAAGGAAAAATGTCGGCTCCTATCTTTACTTCTTCTACATCTTCAGTTTATCAGGCATTGACATGTGCTTGGCTCTGCCCTGGTCCAAGCTTCTGGTTCCACCAGCCTGATCCTAAATGACCCCAGGTCTTGGCGAGATAATCCCACTATTCCTTCAGAGATCAAGAATATTATTCTTTCTTTTGTGGATCTAAAATTATTGTGATTTTACCTGTAATGTTTTTTAGTTTTAATAAACTACGAAACTCAAAATCAAAGTCATACTCAGTGCCTATTATTGTCTCTTGCTATTCCATTAAATGGCAGAAAAATTCAAGGAGAATTTATAATTACTAAAGGTCTAAGAAAACGTCAGACAAGTAAGATATTATGCAAGTGACTTAATGCTAGAGATAAAAGATAATTTTTTTTTCCTAGAAAGACATTAATTAGGAAAGTAATTGGAAGAATCTTTTGTGCTCTATTTAGAGCCACTTCATAAAAAGGTATACTAAGTTTCAGCTTGAGAAGATGAGAAAGTTCTGGAGATAGATGGTGGTGATGGTTGCACAATGCAAATAAATGTATATAAAGCCACTGAACTGTACACTTAAAAACAGCTTAAAATGGTAAATTTTATGTTATGGGTATTTTACCATCTAAAACGGTATACTAATAAGTTGCTTTTTAAGATTTGTTAAAACACTCCATTTTAAGCAAAGTGACACCCTCACTTCTTAAAATACTCATGTTAATAAACATTCTCAGAAACTCAGGTTGTTTTCTAAATAATTTAACAAAATGCATGAGCTTCTCTGACTACAGGGTGTGCTGGAGAAAGGAACAGAAAGCTTTTTAAAAGAGTAAAAAGGTACTCTTTAGCCAGTGATATTGGGTTTTCCTGTTTACAAAATTATCATCCAAAACACGCTTTCAAGTTTTCCTGATTTTTGAAAAATGGAGTTCTCAAATGATGCCTCTAAAACTGGAGATTTAGATTACAAATGGTTCCACAAAACTGAAATCTTGAAGGAAAGGATATTTTAGTAATTGTGCAATTGCTAGAACCAGGCAGTAGGTGGCATTTTTGTAGGCACTCAGGGTTTTGGGAATAAAAGATATTGTGCTGAGGAATGCAGAAACCTGGAAATTAGCACGTTTTATAATCAACTGGGATATGATCGATAAAACTGGCAATACAAGGTTTAAATGAAGAGACAGGAAACTCAGCAATTCCTATCCTGAATCTTGTTATGTGTGTGTAAGTATGAAGTTACCTGTCTGGTTTTCTCTACTTTTCCAGGCTAAACTTCACTATCAGTAGTCCAAGTTAATTTCAGTTTGGCATAATGATCTCCCCAAATGTGTAATAATAGTAATACCCCAACCTACTGATTGACTCTAACATCACAAAGAAAGAGAGCGTTCTAGGAAGAAGTCAAGTTTGGAAATCATTAGCACATAGGAAAATTTCAAGTCATGAGTTTGGATGAAAATAAACATAGGATTCAATGTTGAGAGGTATAGAGGCATAACCTAGTTTGGCAAAGCTCCCAAACAAGGAATATCCTATTTTCTTGTGCTTCACCAGGCCTCACTGTGCCAAAACAGATCTAACCATTCTTCACCAAGTCTACCTAATCAACATATTTCCTCGATTCTAACTTGTGCTTTTAATTATTAATTTTATTAACAGTTTAAAATCAGAGTCTTTTCCCTATCCCCACCCCCTTCTCTCCTTTCCCTCACCCCGGAAAAACTGCTATCAAATTGATGGTCCACTTTACAACTGAGAAAATAAATGCACTAGCTACAGGTGATTTTGCTTGCAGGGTAAAAGCTTCCTGCTCCACTGCCTGAAACTCTTTTGCAAAGTGCTTTTTCAGGTGGTTTCTTTAATGGTAGTCACAAGTTTGTGGGAGTAATGAGGGGAGAGAGGAGGGGCAAAATCCCCCTCCCCTTCTTTTCCTTCTGAAAAGGGTTAGGCACAAGGAGCCTCTAGTGGCTTGTCTGAAGTCTGCAGCGCAATCACAAACAACCGAGGGCCAGGTCTTCCTGCACCCAATCCCAAACTGGACTCTTAAGCTGCTAAAGTTTGAGGTGTGCCCCCGCCAATCTGTCCTATACTCGAGCGGGGACCAGCACAGCGACCCCTAGGAGGCTTTCGACCTCACCCTGTCTTAAGTCCCCAAGGTCGGCGGCCATAGCATATCCTTGCCCCAACCACTTGCGTCTGGCTCTGGTCGCTTACGGGTAGTTCGCATCCACTCGAGCAGCGCTGGGAGGTCCGCCGGAGTCACCGTACGCAGCAACCTTAGGATTGCTCGCCGCGCCGAGCGGAATTCCATGCTGAAAGCAGAAAACAGCACAGGGGAAGGTTCGCATTGCGCACGCGCAAGCAGAGACGGGTCTCCACGCCAGATCCGACACGGAGGAACCCGCCTCCCCCGGCTGCGAAATCCCTAAGCCCCGCCCCTTTTGGGAGTTCTCACACGCGCATGGGGAGAAATCTATACTCTCTAATCGCACCTCCATCTCTCACCACTCCCCTCTCTGCTGGCAGTGCATAGCCTAGCCACTTTTTCTTAAAGTAACTTATCGAGGCCGGAATTCTTTCCTGGGATCGCATCCCTAGAGGGCGTCCTATCTTGCCATTTTGCTGTCGCAGTGATTGAGCGATAGAAAACGGAATGTCAAAAGGCCAGTCGAAGCAAAGAAACATCTCAATAAACCTTTCCAGTCAAAGCACTGAAAGAATGCGGCAGGTGCCCCGGAAGCGGAAGTGTATCCTTTTCATGAAAGGCTGGACTTCGCTGAGTGGTGACGTTTCCTCATTGGGCGGAAGGTTCGGTGGCAATCGTCGGTCTTCCAGCTGGTGGGAGTTGGCGTCGCGGTGCTGGGCACTGGAGCCCTAGTTTGTATAGTTTGGGAAGTCGGGCTGTGGGGTCGCACCTGTCTGTCTGATCCCTGCTTTCCTTGGTTTCCTCCCACGGCGCAGGGGCCTCGCGAAAGAATCGCCGGCCCCTTTGGGCCACAGCGGTAGCGGTGCTTTTTGCTGTAAGTATCTTGCTTTTTCCCGCCCCCGACCACGGACTGGCACTAGGGGCAGCCTCAGCTGTGCTTGGGGCCAGAGACTCCGAAGGGAGTCGGCTTCCCTGGCCACCAGCTCTCGGCACCGAGACTGAGGTGCACTGGCCCTTTTTCATCTCGTGTGCCCCATCAGAAGTTTTATTAAAAGATGCACTGTGACCCTTTTAAGTTGTTTTCAGATTTATTAGCCAAATTAGGTGTAGGCAATTACAGGCCTGACTCTGCTTTGCTCTCCCGATCAAGAATTTAGATGTGTCTACTTCTCCGAAAACCTTTTGGTGTGTACCAGATTTTATTTTCCCGTGTTCGTTGTGCTTAACACATTGTCCTGCAAATTGTAGGCGTTCAATAAGTGAATAAGGGATATCAGTTCAATGCCAATGATGAATTCAGATATACTGATGGTTTTCTCTGTACATTTGCCACTGTTGACCATTTCTAAAAACTCTTTCCCCTGTTGGCTTCCTTGATGCTATTCTCACCAAGTTCTTTCATATGTTTAATTCAACATAATATTTACTTATTCCTATCTATAGGGATACAGAAGTGAATGACACAAACCCTGTCATTGAGGAGCTAACAGTACAGTGAGAGAGAGGCACATAAATGCACATTAAAGCAAGATGAGTAATGAGAAACTCTAGGAAGGTATAAAGAGCTATGAGAGCTCTGGGAACCCAGATGAGAGAACTCCTTGGAAGATCTGTAACCCTGAGCAAGTTGCTATTCCAGTCCAGCCTCAGTTTCCTCATCTATCTAATAAGCTTATTATGGGGATGAAAGATTAGATGACCTGTTTCATGCAATGCCTAGAATATAGCAATGTTGGTGCCAAAGGGGAGAGGAATTATTTCCCTCAAAACTCTTTCTCTTAGTGTTTTCATGTGGTCAGTTAATATTTTCTAATTTGATAAAAGCATCTTCAGGCCCTCTTTAAGTTTATTCCTCTAACTCCACCTAACTGGAAATTCTGGACCCGCCTCTGGAATTTAGTAAGATAAATGGTAGCTTTTCTTTTTTTTTAATTTATTTTCTTCTGTATGCCTTTGGAGAGGGAAAGGAATTAGTAAGGGCTTCTATCCATTTTAATTATTATGTTTTAGTTGACTCCTTTTGTTGGCTCTTTACCATCCCATGGTCTTTCACAGGCTGTCCTTGAGAATTCTCATCTACGTCCTTGGCTTCCATGGCATTATCTTTGTTCGCTAACCATTTCCAAACTTCTCTAACTTCTCTTTTTTCCCCTGTAACTTCTGTCTCATGAATGATAGAGTTCTTTAGTTTCAATAGGTCCCAAACCAAATTTACTACCTCCACTTCCCTTTTTTCCACTTTTTTCATTGTTATGTATATCATACATAGGAGCCTTGACTCCTTATTTCTACCTGAATTTTGTGATATTTGTATGTTCAATTTTAAAAGCAATAATAAAACGAACCCCTGTGTACTCAGTATCCAACTTTAGTAGGACATGACAAAGTATTATAGCAGATGTACTCAAAATCCCACTTTAGTAGAATATGACAAATACAACATTACAAAACCTTAAAGCCTCTTGAACCTTTTCTCTGGTTACTCTTTAGCTTTCAAACCAGCATCTCTTTTTTGTCTTCCCTTCATTGGTTAATGGTATCCCTGGCCATCTGGTTACTATTTGAGACCTTGGAGTCACTTTTGCCTTTTGTTTCTCCTTCATTTCCCACAACTATTTGGTGATTAGGTCCTTTAGCTTCTGCTTGGGCTTGACTTGATCCATTCTGCTTTCTGCTTCCCTGGTGCAAGCCGACATGCCTCCACCAGACTTTTGGAGTATGATTACTCTGATTAGTACTGTAGTCTCCTTGCTCTCAAGTTTTTCTCCCTCCAGTGTATTTGCTACATTGACTCTAATCTTTAAATTATGGAACAGATTTTTCTTTCTCTTGTTTCCTTTGAGGAGTATTGTTTCATATAGTGATTTTTAAGCCTGGTTGCCCTTCAGTATAGCCAGTGAAGTTTTTCAAAATATAGATGCCTTGTTTTACTCTCCTAATCAAGAAGTTAGATGAGGCCAGCCACTTCCCCCAAAACCTTTTCATGGTACTATCCTTGGAGATTCTGATTGAGTATTTAATTTGCAGCGGATAGGTGTTAGGTACATGTAGCTGAAATAACAAAAATATCATATACCTCTTATTCCTCCTCATCCATGCTTTTAGCCTATGGTCTTTTCAACTTCAGGACAGACTATTGCCAAGGAATTCTTTTGACTTTGTTTTAATCTTGGTAACAGTTTACATAAAGATCCTTGTTATGATCGACCTGATAGCCAATAAAGGATCTTAAATGATTCTCACTGTTTTTGAGTTATTACCCCTTGTTGCTAATTGAATTGTTGGTATACCTTTTCTACTATCAAACTATGAAATGTTGCATTGTTTTTTTTTTAATATTAAAGGGAGTTTTAAAATTTGGAAACAGATTATTTTAATGAAGAGAGAATTTCCTGATACTTCTTGCATAGTTAAATATAACCTTTGGTGCAGAATTAAAGCAGTTAAGTCAGTGGTGGTATGATGTATAATTGATCTTTTGAAGTCAACAGAGGAGTCTTGTCTGTGTTAAGTTGATGTAATTTATTGATTTGGAGTTAGAACTTTTCTCATGCTGGTATGATTCATGGAACACATAGTAGATATTGAATGAATGAATAACTAAATGAATTCAAGTGGCAATTCCATCTCAATCCCCAGTATAATATCACCGTATTTCTCACAAGGAGCACTTTGAAAAATAAATTTCCCTTTGATTTAAAAAATAATAGTCTTAGTCATTACCAAAAATTTGGAAATTACAAAAAGATGTAAATAAAAAAATAAAGATGACTAGTTGTTCATCATCCGGAAATGACAAATGTTACTATTTTCTAACAGTTTTACTGAAACAAAATTCACACGTCCTACAGTTCACCTAAAGTGTACAATTCAGTAGTTTTTAGTGTATTTACAGAGTTGTGCAAGCATCACCACAATCAATTTTAGAACATTTTTATCACTCCATGAAAAAACTCCATGCTCATTAATAGTCAGTCCTCATTTTCCCCCAACTCCTGAGCCCTAAGCAACTATTAATCCACTTTCTGTCTCTATAGATTTACTTTTGGACATTTCATATAAATGGAATCACAGAGTATGTGGCTCTTTTGTCACTGGTTTCTTTCATGTAGCATAATGTTTTCAGTATTCATTCATGTTGTAGCATGTATCAGTGCTTCATTCCTTTTTATTATCAAATATTCCATTTTATGGATATTTGTGGATGTGTGTGTCTTACTTTCTCTTGGATGTACCTCCAAATGGAATTGCTGGGTCATATACAGTAACTCTATGTTTAACATTTTGAGGAATTGCCAAACTGTTTCCAAAGGGCTATACCATTTATATTCTTACCAGCAGTGTGTGAGGGTTCTGATTTCTCCACATTCTTAACCACACTAGTTATGTCTTTTTGACTATAGCCATTCTAGTGTGTGAGAAGTAGTATCTGGTTGTGCCTTTGATCTGTATTTCCCTGGAGGCTAATGTTATTTTTTGATATTTGTTTATAGACAAAAATGGATTATACAATATATGCAGCTATGTGTTCTGCCTTTGCATTTAAGCATATTTTTAGCATTAGCAAGCGTGTTTACAGAAGAATTTCCCTCATTACTGCTTCCTTTTTCACTCCCCCCAAACCATAATTCTTGTGAAAACTTGCCTAAATTATATGCAAAGAAAACAAAGTCTATAGGAACGTATACCAAATTGTTATTGGTGGTTATCCAGGGGACAAGAGGCTGTAAGATTAGGGATATTATATTTTCTACCTTTAGTACTTCTGTAGCATTTGAATTTTTACAATGAACGTCTATCTTCCTGTAATCACAAAACATAAGTTATTATGAATTATTTCTTTGGAGGACTAAGATTCAGAATGAAAAAGTATTCATAAATTTAAAAGTCATAATTAACATTATATTGTTATTCAAATAGAATAATTTTAGCAAATAAGATGCGTATAGGCCACTTGGTTAGATAAATTTACTTTTCTGATATCCCAGAATATGAATACATATACTATACAGAATTTAAATATATATAGATATATTTAGTATTATAGTGAGGAAAGCAAGTATTGGTTTGGGCTATTTGAATAGCTTCTGGAAAGGTATATAATGTAGAATTGAATTTTCTAAAGGTATTTACTACTACTAATATATTAATTTAGTTTTTTAGTCTAATATTGATCCAATAAATTAGTCACTGACTAGGGCTTAGAAGAACTTTTTTACAGGAATTTTCATTGTAATAGGATTTGAAATCTCCAGTCGTTAGGATCTGTTTATATAATCTCAGACCAGGTAAGGTTCTGGCAGGAATATTTATAATTGTTTATGTAGAGGAAAGTGGCTGTTTGAACACTCCAGCTGCTGTTGAACAATAGAATTACAGGTACGTGTAATTGGCACTAAAGATTCCTGGGGTGGTTCCTAGGTAATGGGATGGGAGCTTCAGTAGGGTTTAAGAAAAGTTCCTGTTGGGCGCCTGGGTGGCTCAGTTGGTTGAGCGACTGCCTTCGGCTCAGGTCATGATCCTGGAGTCCCTGGATCGAGTCCCGCATCGGGCTCCCTGCTCGGCAGGGAGTCTGCTTCTCCCTCTGACCCTCCTCCCTCTCATGCTCTCTGTCTCAAATAAATAAATAAAATCTTTAAAAAAAAAAAAAAAAAAAAAGAAAAGTTCCTGTTTATTTACACTTCAGATAGCACTATAGGGAGAGCCAGTTGGTATCATTCAAGAAAGCAAGGAAGTTAATATACTAGGCACTTGCAGACAGTTTTATATTTATTGTCTCATTTAACCCTCACAAAATCCCTTCAGGGTCACTACCTTGATAATGGTATTATCTCCATTTTGTAGGTGAGGAAAGTGAGGCTCAGAGAGATTAAG